TCCTTAATTGTTTGTCATTAGACTTAGGACTAGTTGCAGTGCTTAAAAGTTAACTTAGTTGAGAGATCAACTGCGATCAGCAGCAATTTGTGGTGGCGTATTACCTAGATAGGCTTCCTGCTGTGCTGGGTCCAGAGTGGAGGGCAAAATTGTGGGCATTCCCGGTATAAAAGTCTTGTCGTTTTCACTGCCGCCCCAGCGAGATTTGCGCTTCCTCTTCCGTTCCGCAGCGCTGTCCACTGTAATTTAAATATTAATTAGTAAAATACTCTAAAAAATTAAGGGGTCCATTGTTTGGATTTTATATTCAATACATAAGTAATTCGAGTTATAGAAGTTATATTGTTTGTATACCCACTTGAGTTGTCAAAGGCTCCATTGCTGTTGGAGTCGTTGCTGTTCTGGTTGTTGAAGAACGAGGCGAATCCCTTGCTGCCTCCCGCGTTGCCCATGAGCTCCTGGATGGTCTGAGATAAATCAAACCTCGAGCTTGGCTCCTCCCTGATAGTTTCCAACCCCTGCGGTTGCCGGTCGAAGAGGGAGGGAATCCTGGGCTGATCATGATCCTGATTCAAGGAGTTTCGACTGTTGGAAGTGTCGAAGGGGTTTACATGTGTACGTTCTCTGCTGCTTCTTTGTGGCGGCTGATCCCGCTGATCCCTCTGGCCGCCTCGGTCGCTGCGCCGGCGATCGTAGCTTCGACTGCGTGAGCGGCGGCGACGACTCCGGTCATAATCATCTCCGCGTCCACCCCGCGAACTGCTGCGCCTTGAACGGGAATCACGATCGCGATCGCGCTTGCGGTCACGATCTCGGTCCCTGCTGCGCGACCGTTTCCTGCGTCTGTCCTGGTCGTCGTGATTGCGCGACTTGCTGCGGTTCGAGCGGGAATCCCTATCACGATCGCGATCCCGGTCGCGTTCACGATCCCGATCACGGTCGCGATCTCGTTCATCCCGGCGGCGGCTGTCCCGGTCTCTGCTGTCCCTGTCTCTGAAAAAGGAATGTAAGGGTAATGGAGGGTCCAAAATAGGTTCCCCTTAAATGAAACCTGGTGCCAACTCACCTCTTCTTCCTATCTTTTTCGCGCTCCTTGTCTTTGTCCCTATCCTTGTCCCTTCCGCGATCTTTTGAGCGGGAGCGCTCCTTATCAGCTCCGCTTCTGCCGTTGGCAGAGGCGGCGACTGCGAGTGAGACTTCTCGGGCCGTCGCCGAGCAAAGTAAATCCGGCGGCGTTGCACTCATGTTTTCTTCGCCGCTTATACACCAAGAACTCGTCTAATACAACCACGTAAAGTCAGAATAACTCCGAAGACACTTTAAATAGTAAAAACCTATTTTTTCAGTATGCGGCGTTGCGTGTGAAAATTTTGTGGCAACGGAACGAAATGAAAATGGCGACGTGGTTCAGTGTTGGAAAGGGCATGCTGTTAGAGGTGAGCAGCGCTAGCTGTTACCAGCTGCCTGTCACAATAATATATATATTATATTATTTACTTAGCTGATATCAAACTGAATGTAGTCAGATTTTAAGATTCCTTTCACCGTTATACTTTTTTTATATGATAGTTATTTGTTAAAACTGCGTTTTCAGATACTTGACTTAAAAAAATTTATTACTTGTATATGTTTTACATGTTTTAATAGCGCACACTCAAATACTGAACTAAAAAGCTAGCTTATCTTTTTAACCATATTTTGTGCAGCGATTTTTAAATAATCTTAATGTAAAGTTAAATACTCTGTTATGCTTGTATAATTATTCGCAATCTTGCATAATTTCTTTTTATTGTTTTTAATATCGGTTAATTTTGAATGCTTTAATCCTTAATATACGTCTCTATTTAATATGGTTTTTAAATATTTTTTGATTTCACTTCTAGCTGTTCCTATTGACAATTACAGTGACTATTCCCAGGCTTATCCAATACAGTTTTTGCCATTTTCGAAACGCGTTAGTACGTTTAATGTTGCACGTGTGCGGTATTGTGCACTTTTGTTTTGCTCCATGAGCTCGGTTTGATTTATCCAAAAAATCAAAATAAAACAATGGTGGCCAAGGGTAAAAAGGCCAGTGCCGATGCGGTGTACGCCAAAAAGACGGTGAAGTCGTCCAATCCCTTCGACAACTCGGCGGCGCAGACGAGTAAGCGTGGACAGAATCAGAATCCCTTCGATGTGCACGTGAATAAGGAGAAGTTCAAGATTCTGGGCAGGATCTGCAAGCATGACAGGGGAATGCCGGGCGTATCTCGGGCCAAGGCTCTGCAGAAGAGAGCTCAAACACTGGGTCAACAGTTCGCTGTAAAGCACAAGACCAATCGGTTTAAGGATAACCGCATTGGGAAACACTTGAGCGGCGATCAGCTAACGGAATCCGTGATGAACGCCCGCTATCTAGCCGAAAAGATGTCCCAAGTGCGCTCCAATCAAAAGGCGGAGAAGTTCAACCTTAACGACGACGAACTCCTCACGCACAGGGGCCAAACTCTGGAGGAGATCGAGCAGTACAGGGATGAGCGATCCGACGACGAGGAGCTGGACGACGAGGCACTAGATGGTACGCATACGCTAGAATTCCCCTTAAGAACTCATGACTAACAAGCATTTCCATCCAGCTGATTTCACGTCTGCTGCCCACTTTGGTGGCGATGGCGACACCCCTCAAGATCGCCAGTCGGCCATCGATGAGATGATCGTCGAGCAGAAACGCCGCAAGAACGAAATCGCAAAGGAGAAGGACGAGGTGTACGATCTCACCGAGAAACTGGATGCCAACTACAAGCTTCTGCTGCCGCTGGTGGCCAAGGCCACAAAGGATGAGCAGGACGCCAAACCGCCGCCAGATGCCTACGATAAACTGCTCAAGGAGATGATATTTGAGCCGCGTGGCAGTGTCACGGATAAACTCATTAATCCCGAAGAGTTGGCCAAACAGGAGGCGGCTCGTCTGGAGAAACTGGAGAACGAGCGACTTCGTCGCATGCGGGCCGATGGTGAGGAGGATGAGCAGGCCTCCATTTCACAGCCCAAACATCGTTCAGCGGATGACCTCGACGATGGGTACTTCATGGCTGGCGGCGATGACTTGGAGGATGATACTCTGGCCTACGATTTGGAGGGCAATTTAGGCACTCATCTCAATGGAAAAAAGAATGCCCAGGCGGAGGAAAACGAAAATGAAGAGAAGGATGATGAAGAGGGCGAAGAAGAGGATGAGGAGGACTCCGATGAGGAGAGCGATTCGGATGTCGATAACCTGAGTGATCTCAAGGAATCTGAGAGTGAGTCCGAGGCGGAAGACACTCCTCAAGTCAGCAAAAAGAAAGCAAAGAAATCTACAGAAAAATTTCCTGTCTCTTTGGACACCAGCATACCATTCACCATCAAGATGCCCAAGACTTACGAAGACTTCACAGAATTCCTCTCCAAACACGCAGCTCCCCAGAAGGCGACCATTATCGAAAGGATCATAAAGTGCAATCATCCGAAACTGGAAGGCGTAAATCGTGAAAATGTGGTCAAGTTGTACTCCTTTCTGCTGCAGTATATTAAGGATTTGTTTGAGGATGCCAGCGAGCAGGACATACGTGAACATTTCCAACTGCTCTCAAAGTTCATGCCTCATTTGTATGAGCTGACGCAATTGAATCCCGAACGCATGTCCAATACGTTACTGGAAGTGATCAAAGAAAAGTATGGAGAGTTCAGGAAAAACCACAAGATGTATCCTTCACTGGACACTCTAGTTTACTTTAAGCTGGTGGCCAACCTATACTCCACTTCAGATTTCCGTCATCCGGTGGTCACTCCTTGCTTTATTTTCATGCAGCACATTCTGTCCAGATCGCGAGTGCGAACGCGTCAAGAAATATCAATGGGTCTGTTTTTGGTCACCGTGGTCTTGGAGTTTGTCTCGCAATCCAAAAGACTTCTCCCAGCCGTTTTTAATTTCCTGCAGGGCATTCTACACATGTCCATACCTAAGCGGGATGTGGAGCAGCTGGAGATAACGCCACCCTTTGAGCGAGATGGTCCCTTTAGCAAAGTGCTGGCACTCCCCGGTAATAAGGAATGTACGAAAATGGAGCCCCAACAGCTACAGGCTGCGGATTTGGTCACACAAACGATCACTCCAGATTTCAAGGTTCGAGCACTGGATACAACACTCCAGCTGATCAAGGAAGCTCTCCAGTTGGTGGAGGAGCATGTGGGTGCCTGCTACCTGGCCAAACCCTTCCTGAGACTGCTCGCCCGCCTGCCGCTTGAATCCTATCCCGATCATGTACATCTGCACCACAAGGAAGCAACCGAACTAGCAGAAAAGCTGGCTGAGCAGAAAATGAAACCTCTGGCTCCGGCGGAAAGGAAACCCAAGGCTCTTAGGCTACTGGAACCTCGATTCGAGGCTGTTTACGATGACAAGCGGCGGCCCAAAATGTCCAAGGCTAAGGAAGAGCGGGCCAAACTGCTTCACAAGATTAAGCGCGAGAAGAAGGGCGCCATCCGGGAGATCCGCAGAGATACAGCCTTCGTTCAGGAACTTAAGCTCAAGCACACGCTGCAAAGGTGGGTGTTTTATTTACGTGTGATAACCCTTTTCTTTAACCGATTCTTCTTTACTCACAGCGACAAGGAGCGCCACGAGAAGGTCAAACGGATCTACCAGGAGGCATCCATGCAGCAAGGGCGAGCTCAATGAGCTGGCTCGTGCCAAAAAGAAGAAGAAGTTCTAGACGTGTTCCAGTAAGGTTGATTATGAACTAATTTTTAGCTAGGCTATACACTAAGCTGAGAGTAAAGAGCAGCGCATTGCTGCTTCAATTTAATATCACAAAATCGACCTTCAGAATTGTATATATTAATGCTAACCTAGATTATGCGCAACAACAGGGTGGGTCGATTGAAATGAAAGCAAGAAATCAATGTCTTTGATCGCAATTATTTCTTTTCAATCATGATTAATTTCTTATAGTTTTGAAAGGATTAAAACAACATAATAAATGTTGCCAAGTTTTCATTTTATTTACATTTTTAAAGATCTTTGTTATTAGCTATGATTATTTCATTAAACAAATTGACCCACCCTACTGTACATATAGAATCCTATGTGTCTACACCTTCTTTCCCGAGATTTGCCGGCAGCGCAACGTTGCCTGCTCCACCGCTCCAGACACTGCCGCCCGAAAACCTGCAATCGACATCAAAGGTTGAAGTTGAGGCGATAGGCGAGTGCGTCATCCGCATCATCATTGCCACTTACCTGAAAGCTCTAGTTGCCTGAGGGCGGCTGCAGTCGAACCAGCTGGACTGGTGACCCCGTCTTTGAGCTGACCGGGATGCAGGCCACTGTCCCGGACCATGTGTCCAGCACCCAGGACTGTTTGTGATGCCAAACGGTAGGCCAGATCCCTGGGCATTCCCATGTGCACGGCTCCATCCGCCAAAGCCTCAATCATCACGAACACATAGGCCGGTCCACTGCCACTTAAAGCAGTAACTACATCCAGCTGGGATTCATCTACCGCCTCACAGGTGCCCACGGATTGCAGGAGTCTCTGAGTGACTTCTGCATCTGCATCGGTGGCTTTGGACCCGCGAACAAAAACCGAACAGCCTGAACAAACCACTGCCGGCAGATTTGGCATGACGCGGATCACACGAGCTTGCTGGGAAAGACTGGATTCGATGGTGGACAGGGTGATGCCCATGGCCACGGAGAGGAATAGTTTCCCGGAGCTGAGTGGCTGAATCTCTGATAAAAGAGAGGGGACCACTTGAGGTTTCACGGACACAAACACCACGTCAGATTGTTGCACAACCGGTGCATTCTTAACCACTGTTTCCACTCCCAATGCTTCAAAGGACTGCAGGGAGAGCTTATCCGCCGGATGCACACTAGCTATCAGGGTGTTGGGCTTGGCCAGGCCTAGGAAATGTAAATGGCAATTACACGATTAGATGGTGAAATCTTTGATTTATTTATTTTTATTAAAAAGATAGATAAAGTGGATATCCTATAGAACTGCATTATAAATTTAAATATACCTAGAGCGTAATATTAACTCTCTCACCTGCTGCCAGGAATCCCTTGGCCAAGGCTTTAGCCATGTTGCCACCGCCCAGGAATCCGATCTTTCCGATCGTCGACATTATGTTTTAATGGTTAAGTTCTGCGGACTGAGTACTGCACTTTGTGCTGGCGGAACGGCAACTGTTTGTGCGCTGCCGGCGTTGACCAAAAACAGTCCGCTGGTTTGATAAGAAATCTGGCTCGATCCACCCCCCCAACCCCCTGAGATGTGCGAACAACAAACGGGCTTATCAGTGGGAGTTACTTTGTGTTGGTTTCACATACGACTGCGGGTAATAAATAATAGTAATTAAGAATTTATAGGTTTTTTAAATGATTACTTTTTTGCTAATTTGATTTATCCAAAGAAAATAAAAAAATAAATAATGAAATAAAAAAAAAATAAGCATTTTAAAAGGAATTTAATACGCAAAGTTTTTTTGTTTACTTAGCAGATTTTCATATTTTAGTGTTTTATAAATGGTGATATAGTACTATTATTTTGACCGCAGTTGTATAGCCTTTATCTGCTGGAACAGCCGCGGACTGGAATCCATTCACCCATTAGCAGCCATGACGAAGACCAAATTTATGGGAGATGACGATGCCCTGTAATCCCTGTAATCGTCCATTGATCCATGTTGATGTTTTGAGTTCCAGTCCCCCTTAAAACGCGACAGGCTCTTTGGTAATGTTTATTTACCAAGATTCGAAAACATTCCACACTCTAAAAGATAACAATGCTTATCAGTTGAATGTGATAACAATAACAAAGAAAAAGGTTAATATAAGAGAACTGACACAATGTAGGCTAGTAATAAAAATGTAGATAAAAAATTCTACAAATATAACAAAGATGATGCATCTTTAAATTTAACAAATGTTATTCTTCAATGTTGTGTTATACACTAATATAATTTAGTATGCAATATAATGAGATTATAAAGTGAGAAAGAAAACTTTAAAAAACTTATTAATTGAGTTTAATTTGCAGTTTAATTTCAATTTAAATCCCGATAACTTAATCCACCGCGCTATCGTTCCATTCCATGTGTGTCGCGGCTATGGCTTTGGCGTTAGTGCTTATTTCTTTAGCGAGTACACCCGCCACGGTTACCGAAGATATACTCCGAAGACACCAGCCACATTTATCGAATATAAATTCAAACATTCGCCGTAGCTAGCGAAGACATTCTCCAGGTTGGCGAACACACCTCCTGGGTTAGCGAATACATAAACCAGTCGGCGTATGTATCGATAGTATCGATTAAGTCAGTATTTATTTTAGGGCCGGATGGTTTTTTTTATCGTTAGCGGAGCGGGCACACTGATCGGGAGTAATTTTTACCGTAGAAATTGTAATTTAACGCCTTGCGAGGGTCAGAAACTCATAAAACACAAACTACCGATTATAACTAAATAGAGCCTGTCATTTGCAACGGATTAGATACGAAGACATATCCGATTCCAGCCTTAATTATCTGCCTAAACGTGTGTGAGTGCCTGTGCGTGGGTGTGAGTACGTGTGTGCGCCTGTGTGTGTGCGTTGTTTTCTCACACAATTTCGCTGCAATTTAGAAAAAATCAACAAAAGCGCAGTAACAGCAGCAACAACAATTAGGAAACGCATTAATTTTCGAGGTTGTTTGCCTATACTAGAAAAATAAACAATATAATATCGAATTGAAGAACTGGAAATCGCATGCCCAGCAGCGGATTGATCAACAAACCGAAAAAAAACCTTCGTCAGCTCCCCGAATTCTGGAGCAGGACGGTACGTATTATACTTCCAGATCGTATGGCCATGGAAACTTAATTGATTTGCAAATTACCCACAGGGCCACGTCGCTATCGCTTATCTACGGCACTGAGAGAAAAACCATCAAAGTGGGCCAGTCGTATTCAGTCTTTGCCTTCACATTTTCAGGCGGCAGTGATTAGTTCCCAAAAATTAACAAACCCAAATAACATGTCATCGTCGTCGGCGTCCGGCGGTCGGAAGCAGCCCACCGCCGTGTCCCGAATGAAGCAGGACTACATGCGTCTAAAGCGGGATCCCCTGCCCTACATCACCGCCGAGCCGCTGCCCAACAACATCCTCGAGTGGCACTACTGCGTCAAGGGTCCGGAGGACTCGCCCTACTACGGTGGCTACTACCACGGCACCCTGCTCTTCCCGCGCGAGTTCCCCTTCAAGCCGCCCTCCATCTACATGCTGACGCCGAACGGACGCTTCAAGACCAACACGAGGCTGTGCTTGAGCATATCAGGTAGAGTGGGGCGTTTCTACGGGCTTCAACACTATACATCACATAAAACAACTAGCAGGAATTTCATCATAATCGTTATAATTGATAAAGATATATTGTTTGTATTGCGTTAGGTGATAGACTAGCTTTGCTTAAGCATACCAGGGAGTAACATTATGGGAGTAATGTCACTTAAGGCCAACACAAGGTAGTTTTGAGCATATCAGACACCTCGGTTATATCTTATCTGTAAAATACTCGAAAACGCTTTTAAATTTCTCTAGAATCACTCTTTTCGCTGATCATGTATTAAAAGTGTTAGAATCTGATTTATAACCTGCCGAATTTATCAGTAGCTAATAATCATCGAATTCATTAACATTTCAAACAGTTGATTGTTATTATAAAAGGAATGAAAGAAAACTTCAGCACGCCAAAGTCTATATGCCCTTGCAGATATTACAAATATTAAATATTTTATAAAGCTACTTTATTCCGATATGTTTATAAACAATGAAGCTATGCCGATTTTCCGTTATAAACACTTCGATATTTTTTATGGCAGCCATACTCCTTGCAGTGAAAAGCATATTTTTGGGATCGACTCTCTTGGTGATGTTGACCAATAAGAAAAATTTATAATTTAAAGGGTCGCATTGCACACAACTTTCTCTCAGAATTAAGCAAGCATGAAAAAATCGATAATCTATAATATTAAATTTACATGCCTTGTTTTTTTATAGACTTTCATCCGGATACATGGAACCCCACTTGGTGCGTGGGCACTATTCTTACAGGGCTGCTGAGTTTCATGGTAAGTACCTTTGACATTCCGGGAAATCATAAATTAATTAAAATTGTTTCGATTCCGCAGCTCGAGAGCACACCCACGCTCGGGTCTATCGAGTCGTCGAACTATGACAAGCAAATGTTTGCTCAAAAATCGTTAGCATTTAACCTGCGCAACACCAACTTCTGTGAGCTATTTCCCGAGGTGGTCGAGGAAATCAAGCAGCGACTGCAGGGAACGCAGGCGGCAGCTGCGGCGGGTGGTATTGCGTCCACCTCGAGCGGAGCGAAGCGGTCCAATGGTTTGCCCAATGGAGCGACCTTGGTATCGGCGGATGGTAGCCTGGGGGTGGGTGGCTTGGCCAATCCACAAAACCCAGGGGACGCCATTGATGGTGGTGCGGCGGGTCAGGCGGATTTGGCCAGTGGCGGCGGAGCGTCGGCACTGCAGAATAGTGCACGGAATTCCTATCTAAACTGGCAGTCCGTCTATTCAAACCTGGTGATCATCATCTGCTTTGCGATATTTGCCCTCATTGTTAATTACGTGATCAAGAACCTGAATCAGGAATAGAATTAACGACACAGCCTCTATATTTATATACAAATATAGATACACATCCGTATGCATGTGCATATTTAATCTAGTTTACTCTAAAGTAGTCTTCGTGGATTCAGTACCGCTTGAGAAGTATTTACAGACCCCGCTTTACCCCAAAATTACCGCCTCAGGCGGCGCCATCCATTCCCACTTTTCCCACGATCGCTGTTCAGTCTGAAATTATTGGCAATAACAACTAGAAACACAATCACATATTTCTAAACTAAATTTGTGAAAACTATAAATTGTTTTGTTATGTATTCATTACTATTAAAGCCTAGTTTAATGCAAAGTGAATGAAGCCAGGAATATGTTTGTAAATGAATAAAAAATAACGGCAACATATGAGCTCGTGTACAAATTAGCCAACTTATGTGTCAGTTTCCTGCTTATAAAATGGATATTAATTTTCAGTCATCATAAATTGCCTGGTGTTGATTTGACTTGTACAATAAATTGTAATTTGTATTTGGCTTTACGCTGGCAAAGCGGCTTAAATGTAAAGCAAAGTCGCTGGCTGCTGGCTATAATTTTTTCTCATTCTCGGTGAGTATGGCTAAATCCAATAAAGTGAAGCCTGGGTGACCAACAATGTTTCACATTTAAGCCGCTTAACACACGCCCACAAGTTTCTTATTGTGGCAACTTTGTTGGCTATCTTAAGCCAAAATTACACACATGACTCTTATTGCTGGTGAGGAAGGGCAGAAATGACCAAGTTCCTTGGTTTTAACGAATTATGGCACCCCTTGTTATAGCAAGTAGTGTCCTTTGCAGAAAAACTACACTCAGAGAGAAAAATTACTTATAAAATTCTACAATTTCAATTATAAAATTTTAACGTTTGCCTATGATAAGCAATTAAATTTTTTTTAATATTTGATATTACTTTAAATTATGTTTTAGGAGTCTCACGTAAACTTCGTGTATCTTTTAAAAATGGTTTATAATGAAAACTTTATGAATTCTAACGCTATAATTTTTCATGTGCACTTGCCACAGATTCGTAAAAAGGTAATTCGCTTACTCAGCAACTGTAATAAACTACTTAAAAATAAAAGAACAAAGAAACAACTTCATTTTGTGATGAAAGTTTTTTGCCAGACGCTGAAGTTGATAATTTAACTAACGTAAATTTCAAGTTCAGGCTGCTTTGCTAAGTTTCCGACTGCGGCTGGCACTTGCAACTTTTCAAATTTGGTTGTTTGTTTTATGAACTTGCAACAGTTTAAGCCAATTTCGGTTGCACAAAGAGAGGAAAACCACCAGCAGACACAAAACATTAAATGATATCCCGGATGGTGCAGTGGAAGACACACATACCCCAAAACCGAAACATCTCTGCTACTGTCATCAAGTATTTTTATGGGGAGTGACGATGGGCGGGGATTTTGAAGTCGCTTGTGCTTTTCCTCGAAATTTATTTTGAGTGCCCACCAAGATGGCGACTGGACTTCAAGTCCAAACTGTCTCCTGCATTTCCGCTTTATCCTTTTGATGCTCGAGGCGGATGTGCAATTTTTGCTCATTTGTTCTTGGCATTTATAAGCATCAGTTGCCCGAAAAGAGGTCAGTGGCGTTGAAGTCCGACGAGTTCATTGTTCGCCACCG